GTCGCTTAATTCTCTGCACTTCAACGTCCTCAGCCTCCTGAAGTTCCTGAGAGAATATGATTGGTATAGCAGTTTCTATGACAATGAAATCTATAGCCAGCCCACTTTTAAGTACCAAGTTCCAAATCTTTGCACTGCTATTAACCACACAGCTTCACAGTAAACCTAAGACCCCAGACATGACCACACTCACTCCCACTGCTTCTCTTTTTCACACACAGAGACCAGGGCTCAGCAAACTTTCTGTAAAGGGCCAGAAGATATTTTCAGTTTTACAAGCCATATGGTCTTTGTCACAACTGCTCAACTTGGCCACTGTAGGGCAAGAGCAGCCACAGGTAATATGTAAACAAATGAATGCTGAGTTCCAACAAAACTTTATTAATGAACTGAAGTTTAAGTTTTATATAATTTTCATATGTCACAAAACATTTGATCTTTGTTTAAAATTACTTAAAAACGTAAAATCCATTCTTAGCCCTCGGACTGTAAAAAAAAAAACAGGTGGCAGGTTGGATTTCCCTAGTGATCTAGGTCTTCTGCTAGCATACTAGGCATGGTTTAGAGGCTGGAAAGGAGCAGTAAGAGCTGAGTGGTACTTTCTGAAAAAAGGTTCTATAGAACCAGCTGGTTGACTTCTCTAGTCTCATATCTTCTTGCCTCCATTTTTAAATTAGAAATAATTTGAAATGAGAAGAATTGAGATAGCAAAGATTATGAAATGTACTTGTTAATATCTGACCATAACAGTGTGAATGATAAAAAGTTCGTTTTCACTTCTGAAAAAATTAAAGTCTTCTCATCATAGAGAAATAATTTCTCTATCAATTTTCGTTGAAATGCAATTCTACTTCTTCCCTCCATCCACCCGACTCAAAATTTGTTGCCTAAATGAATAACGTGCAAATGGAAGCAGTTTTCATCTATAAGAATGGGGAAAGAAACTATTAAAAACATTAACAGTACTGGTTTTAAAGAGCTAGGAAGGGACTTCCCCGGGAGTCCAGTGGTTAGGACTCCACGCTTCCACTGAAGGGGGCACAGGTTCAATCCCTGGTCGGGGAACTAAAATCCCACATGCCGTCTGGCGCGGCCAAAACACAAAAAAAGAATAGGAAGGAATATTTACTCTTGGTAGCTATGTAAATTAGTACAATCCTTTTGGAGGCCTGTTAGGAAATTTTACCAAAAATTAAAATGCACATAACTTTTGACTTAACAATTACACTTCTAGGAATTTATCTTAAGAAGATAACCAGACAAGGGAACAAAAATGTATATACAGTGAGTTTCATACTTTGAAGAACAGTTTGTTTTTTTAAATTTTATTGAAGTATAGTTGATTTACAATGCTGTGTTTTCTGCTGTACAGCAAAGTGATTCAGTTATACATATCTATGTATTCTTTTTCATATTCTTTTCTCTTATGGTTTATCACAGGATACTGAATATAATAGTTCCCTGTGCTTTACAGTAGGACCTTGTTTTTTATCCATCCTATACTAGCATCTGCTAACCCCAAACTCCCAATCCTTCCCTCCCGAAGAATTGTTAATATCATGAAAAGATTAAAGCTACTTAAATGTCCACAGGTTACAGTGGAAGGATACAATGGAATTCTAGGTACTATATAAGAAATAATGATGTAGATTAAGCATTTGACATGGACACATCCATAACATATTAAGAGAAAAAAGCACGTTACAAAATTGCATACATATACTGTTTGATCTCAACTGTATAAAATGTCTATATATGGTGTTTGTATACGTACCAATGTGTGTGAGAGAAAAAAAAACAGGACAGAGAAGCAGAACTAAAAGAATGCACACCATGATGTTCACTGGTGATTTTTACTTTCTTGTTTATAGTTTTCTGTATTGTTTATATTATTTTACAGTTGAGCACGTGTTACCTTTATAATTTAAAAAGGACTTATTAGAAGGTACAACACCAAAAGTGGACCATAGGGGCTTCCCTGGTGGCGCAGTGGTTGAGAGTCCGCCTGCCGATGCGGGGGACACGGGGTCGTGCCCCGGGCCGGGAAGATCCCACATGCCGCGGAGC